TCTTCTTTTGCTGGGCAGAGCCATATATCCTTCTGCACTGAACATACCCAGCTCCAGATACTGGCTTTGTGTTTTGGGCCCATCTGTCTGATGTAGTCAAACCTTTTCACTGTAATACCTTCAGAATATTTTGGTTTGACTTTTGACTTTCTTAGTTTTATTTATATATGCAAATATATTAAAAAGGAGGGTTTTTTAAAAAGTAAATTATACTTTGAATAAGTCAACAGGAAGTTCTGTTTTTTCATTACTTGTGTTAAGCAATATATGAATAGTTCCTATTTAATGCTTTTAAGATAAACATGTTGCACGGTAAAACTCCTGACCATTGTTATCTTCTGCCATATAGATGTCTACTTTGCATTAGCCAAAATCCAGTACTATCTCCTCTTTCATCTAGTCCAGATTTTCTGCAGAGTTCACATTTCTCTCTGAGTACAATAACTATATCACTTCACTTACTGCTGTCACAGCCAGGAGATCAGACACGCTCCCTAGCTTCTCCATACAATATATCAACTCTGGTTATGTAAAACATTACAATAAATTATTACATCAAACAGGATGCAGACAACAGGATTAAAACACTATGGCATGACACATATAGTGTGAAATTATAGGTACACCACCTGACTAGGTATATGAATATATATTGGTTTGCATACAGAGCCTAGGAAAACATTTGAGGAATTGGAGATAATTTTATTTTTTAAATCAAGAATCAGAATGTAACCACTCCGGGCTTGAGCAGAGCACTTTCTTGCCTCTTTCAAGAAGACTGATTGTTTTCTTACAGCCTTGGACCAGCTCTCCACCACATATTTTGTTTTTTAAAGCTATAATGAGATCAGCCATAGCTCAGCTTTCCTTAACTCTCCACAGGCTTGTATCAATGCAGATGTTCATGAAGAAGAGATAATGGTTTAAAAGCTCTAATTTTGCTACCCTCTCTGCCATCTAAGCTGATCCTAATGTGATTAGGGTAGTCCTTTCTTTCTTAGGCTGGGTCAATTTGTCTCAGAGGAGGCAGGGAAAGGAGGCACTGAGGGTGCCAGGACTGGCTCCATGCTCAGAAATGGTGGCAGCTGGGAGATTTGTTAATTCAGTGACCTTCACCACATCCAAAGGCAGGCACAAGCGACCCACTTTAGTCATTCCTTCTTTATTTGCACTTATCCGAAGTACCAGGCTGCTGCCACATTTCCACAAGCGCACTTTATGCAAAAATGAGCTCCCAAACCTGTTCACTGCAGTCGCACCAGATCAGGCTGACTTCAACACATCTGATTTATCATGCAGGCTCACCTCAGTGTGGTAGGAGACCACAAGGGCTCCTAAGAGCTCCGCAAGAGCCTGCCATAGCTCCTAAGCATTTTCATCATACACAACCAGACAAGGAGAAGTTCCTGCGCTCGTAAGGACGGTGGCCTAAGGTCAAAAAATACCAGAATATTCCCAAAACATGAACAGCTCTTGTGAAACAATAATACAAAGTTAACAAGCTGCTCTTGGCCTCATGCCTATGTGTTGCCCCAACCTCTCATTTTCTTATACGCTTATTTTCTGGTTGTCCAGATGCAAATCACAAAATTACCCTGGCAATTCCAGCTGCTGGTGCTCCACACTGCTTGCTGTCCACGTCATTCCTCCACTACAGACAGCTAGTGTGTGGTGTGTATCAGCTCTTCAAACTGCACAGGTGAATATTTCCTACTTTCTTTTCCCTATGTTTTTTATTAGTGTAGGTCTGGGGGCTGTCCTTTGGGCTGACTGCACACCCTGCATTTTCTTTGTATCATGGTGGTGGATGCCACGGACTGGCTCATTTGTTGTTTGTCCCTTCTACCTTATCTCAGAGTTGTATTGCAAGGTCTTTCCCTGCTACTGGATTAAGTGCAGAGATAGCTCAGAACTACGGACTATCTTTTCCATAAATGGCACAAACACAAGTTTGTTTCCAAATGTGTCATTCTCAGTGTTTCAAATTTTTTCATTTCCTGCTTTTTCAGTCTTATCTTTGGGTCATGTTTCAGCTTCATTTGCCAACTGCTCTTTCATTAAGTGCAGGTGCCCCTGCAGCTGGCATTGTTCAAACAGGATTTTCAGGATTACAGTAGTAATATTGCTGAGACCGTATACAAAGTGGGAAAGTTTTCTTCATGTCTGATGCAAACAGATGTTACAAACTTCCAAACAAATGGCTGCTTTCAGGCGGTGGCTCCTTGCCTGGTCTGTGGCACCGGAGCCCCGGAAGTGCCATTCCCATTTCCTTCATGTTTCAGCAATGCTGCCAGGAGACTGCAGAGTTTGGTTTACTTCACGCAAATGTCCATTTTCTGGTTTCCTTACCTTTTGATCTTCACTAATATTTCTTGTCCTATTTACCCTCTGTCGTGGGTTAACCTAGGCCAGCAACTAAGCACCCACCAGCTGCTCACT